TGATGCGGCCGCCGGGCTCTCCACCTGTCTTCAAGGCGCGGTACGTTGCTCGTGGCTTCAGTCAGCGGCAGGGAGTTGACCACTTTCGGACCTTCTCTCCCACCCCGAAGATGACCACTCTTCGGGTGCTGCTTCACATAGCCGCTCAGCGCGACTACGAGCTTCACTCTCTCGACTTCAGCACTGCGTTCCTGCAGGGTAGCCTGCACGAGGAGATCTGGCTGCGCCGTGCACCTGGCTTCACTGGGACTTTTCCTCCTGGCACCCAGTGGAGCCTCCGACGGCCAGTCTACGGTCTCCGCCAGGCACCGCGTGAGTGGCACGACACACTGAGGACTACGCTTGCGGCTCTTGGGTTTGCTCCTTCTACTGCCGACCCGTCGCTGTTTCTGCGCACCGACGCTTCACTGCCGCCGTTCTACATCCTCGTGTACGTCGACGACTTGGTCTTTGCCACAGCGGACACTGCTGGACTCGCCTACGTGAAGTCCGAGCTGCTGAAGAGACACACGTGCACAGACCTGGGTGAACTGCGCAGCTACCTTGACTTGCAGATCACTCGGGACAGAGCACGCCGCACCATTAACTTGACTCAGTCACACATGGTGCAGCAGGTCCTTCAGCGCTTCGGCTTCACGTACTCCTCGCCTCAGGCCACTCCTCTGTCTACTCGTCACTCGCTCTCAGCTCTGCCTTCGGATGAGTCCGTAGAGTCGAGTGGCCCGTACCCAGAGCTTGTTGGCTGCCTCATGTACCTGATGACCTGCACACGACCTGACCTTGCATACCCTCTGAGCATTCTTGCACGCTATGTTGCTCCTGGGAGACACCGACCAGAGCACATGGCTGCAGCGAAGAGGGTATTGCGCTACCTGTGCAGTACGTCGGGCATGGGGCTAGTGCTTGGAGGGCGGAGTCCAGTAGTCCTTACAGGCCACGCTGACGCTTCTTGGGCTGACGACCAGGCTACGCAGCGGTCGTCACAGGGTTACACCTTCAGTCTTGGTTTCGGCTCTGTCTCGTGGCGGGCTACTCGTTCGTCTTCTGTCCTCAGCTCCAGTTGTGAGGCTGAGATCTACGCCGGGGCCATGGCTGCACAGGAGCTTCGCTGGCTCACCTACCTGCTGACTGACCTTGGAGAGCCGCCTCGTTCTCCTCCAGTGCTGTACGTAGACAACAAGGCCATGCTGGCCTTGTGTCGAGAGCAGCGTCTGGAGCACAGAACGAAGCACATTGCTCTGCGCTACTTCCTTGCTCGTGAGCTACAGCAGCGTGGACAGTTGCGGCTCGCGTACGTGGCCTCTGAGGCCAACACTGCTGATGTGTTCACCAAGGCACTCGCGCCTTGTGACCATCAGCGCTTCTGCACCCAGCTGGGTCTTGTGCCTGTCTTGTCTCACTTGCTCTCCTCTTGACTTTACTTGTACTGTGTGATATATATACCTGCTCTTGCTTGTCTAGTTTTATATATATATGTCTGTACTCCTGCATGTGAACTGGCCTCTGGCCCTGCTTTTGCGCTCGGACTGTGTTGTGACTTTGTGATCCACCCTGAGCTTGTTTTGCTTTACTTTGCTTGACTGGTCTTGTGACCCCTTGTTCTCCCCCACTTTGCCTATGGGGGTGTGTCAGATATATATGACATAGCTGTTGTAGGCTATAGTGGGGTAGCACATATGGGGTACAGGTCTCTAGGGTTTGCATTTGTACCCAACTTTCACTTAGTCATTTTATTCCTGTTCTAGTATTCTCACACATCGGTCTTGGTCAGGCGGTTGCCGCTTCGCTTCGACTCTTCTGACTCCTCGACTTCGTACTCGGTAGAGTCGGCTCCTGCAGCATACACGAATGCCTTCTCATAAAACTTCATATCATAACATGAACTATCATGACTAAGGGTAGGTAACCCAGGCCTTCAGTTATCGACGTTAAAACTATGGAGAACCAGGTGTAACTTTTGGAAAGCTGAGCAGAATTGCGATGAAAACACTGTACATATGTTCTCGTTTAGAGTATGACGGAATGACACGCCGCGCGCAGACTATGTGCGAAAACCTTGTTTTGCTTATAGTCCAGTTTAAGGAAAATTTCATGCAGAGCACTTGTTTTGCTACTAGTTTCTGTTTTATGTATTTTACGTAGCTTCGGACCGCGCTTGCTGATTTGTGTCGCACACACAGTTCACCGCGTTGATTAATGTCGCATGGCCAACGTGCAAAACAAAACAAAATCGATAATGTTTGGGGCATGAATAGAGGGTTTTTTTTTTTTGAACCCTGTAAGCGAGACAAATGAGTCGCCATCATCTAGCGCGCCGGGGACCGTGCGATAGGATTGAGAAGTAAGCACGGTTAATTGAATCAATTAATTTTAATCACTATGTTAAATATCGAATCGATGATCCCTTCTTTACCATTTTATTTGAATGTTGAGCTGGTTCGATCTGGGCCCTCTGATTGGCTGCGGGGCTGATTCGTGCAATGATTCAGTCAAGCTGCAGAATTTAGCGCCAAATAAGGGACTGTAGAGGTCGGTCTACACCTCGGGCGATATCGGAAAATTCAACTCAAGGGGGAAAAGGGACTCTTTTAGCGAGGGCCTATAACCCGGAACATTTGTACCGTGGACCTCGATGCGCTGTCAACTGTACACCCTATTCGCGATAATTGCACACCCCCTGCCTGTTTTTTTGAAGGTGCTGTCAAAGTAATAGGCTAAGTTGAAAGGAAGGGCCCAGGCTTAGTAGCCTAGGCCTGTACTTAGGTATCGAGCGGGTTTTGCCCTAGGCGAGGTGTCGAGTGAGTTGAGAGAGGAATTGGTGAAAAGAGATGGTTTCACTATAGGTTCAAGGGTACATATAGCATAGAAACCAAATAAGGTGCACCACCAACAACAGTTTAAATAACTACACTAACTACAACTACAAGCAGTTATAAAACATGACAATATATTTCGACAGATGCCCTATACCCATTTATTCTCGATACGACGGACACCCTGAAACTCAAGGACTATCAGTCGACAGCGAGATGCAGTTTCTCTTGAAACTATACCATGTGTTCCGAGTGAGGGCGGGGTTGGGTAGGCGTGACTGAAGTTAATGCTTAAGTCTATTCGCGATTGTGTTTTGGAACACTCACCAGCTATTCCATTTCGCAATGAACTATCCTGCAAGAAAGTTTGTATCCCGGATATGTACCTCCAGGGTGCGCATTTATAGGGTGAGAGATTATCGCGAATAGGGTGCATATTCTAGGGGGGCAACTTCAAGTCAGGTATTGTAACGAATCTGGACACGGTCAGCAGGATTCAGTGGAAACGGAAAACGCTCACATCACAGCCACTGGTGCAACCAAGCGGACTCGCATCGCATTCGAGGAAAATCGGACCATCGGAAATTTCAGGGACACACGAGACGAGCAGCCACTGGTGCAAGCAGACTCAGGTCCATTTCGAGGGTGTTTTACGTACGAGCCGGGGGTTAGACTGCCGGATAGTTCAGGGGTTCAGTTATTTAGACCTCCGTCAACGACCTCGCTTCATACACGATTTCTGATTATGACAACGAACAGAGTCTCCTGAACCGTTGGAGAACACGCCTGGATTTTGTAGCCGTTTTTTCCGCTGATCTCAGAGAGGCGAGGTGTGGTGTGGAGGTGACCACACCTGTAATATCTTTCATGTCACCAGTAATCTGCGGGATCTATGCGGCCGATGACCACAGATGCCAACGTGTACAGACTGGAAACTGTCGGGAGCACCTTCCATTTGTCATTCCGAGCAGGCGGACAACGTGCGGATCATTTTCATCCTACAAAAAACAAAACATGTGGACAGGAAAGTCGAAAACCAAACGTGAGGGGCAGGGCTGTCGATTGGTTTGGAGCAGGCCTATTGATTCACGGACATTTGTCCGTTTTCCCTGAGAATTCAGGGTTCGTTTCAGATCAGCTCGGAGATTTTCAGGGCTGGTTTTTCCCAGGCCCGGACTCCTAACGGGCAGGTTCTGGCCCTCCCCGGATTTCCCGTACCTGTCCCCCCCTCCCACTTCCCCTCCCCCCCTTTCTTTCTGACCTTAGACCGCGAACTGGTCCCTCTCCCCTCCTCCCAGTAACACCACACCAGTCGCTCCCGTTCCCCTAACGTGTCTAGCTCGACTATCTTTTTTTTTTTAACGCAAGTATCCTCAAAGCTAAACAGAAATGCCCTGAATGGAAGTCCGCTTTCCGGATCCTTCAGGGTTGATTTCGGGGCAACTTAGCTTTGTACGGGTTGGACCCAGACCTAGCGACAGCCCTTGTTTGGAGCCAGAACTTGAGAGGCTGAGGTGCCCCAAAAGTTGCCCTGAAATTTACGGGCTGAGAGCAAACCTGGCACTTGAAATCAGGGCTACCAACTTTTTTGCACTTTCGCTAAGGAAACCCCACATCTCTTCGGGTCCGTTATCTTGGGCAAACTACTAAGAGCCAGCTAAGCAATAGGCTGAGGTACGAAACATGTCGATGGATTTGACAGGGATGGGAAGTAGGGGAATGGCTGGGAGGAGGCGAGTGGACTGGTGAGGGAATGGAAGGGAGGGAGGAATTAGTATGGGACGATAAGGGCTAGCCGCGGGATCTGCACTTGAAATCCGGGTTAGGCCCACAACCAGCACTTAACGGGGACGGGCTGCCCTCAAATCCAACCCTTACAATTCGGAAGCTGGGCCGAACCCAGCTCTTAATGTTAAGGGCATAAAGGGCATTTGCCCTTGAAACGTCAGCCCTGGTGAGGGGGAGCCATACTCTTTCTGTTCCGGTAAAATCCTTGGTAATCCATCAGCTGTCTCACGGATCCACAACCCGAAATTAATTACTCGGCAGGAGAAAACTGTAGATTCTATCAGCTCGAGCTGCCTTGCTCCAAGACACCCTCGATTTCCCCACATAACACAGCATATCACCAGTGTTATAACAGTCTCAGCGACGAAAAACCTCACCGCCGCATTCCCAGGTACCAGCATGGGTCTCCACTCACACATCGTCGTGCAAGAGCACGAGCTCTACGGTTTCCAATGCCGCGGGCTGTTCGCGCACAGCTTTATCGCTCAAGGCGAGGTCGTTTGCGATTGGGACGAAGGAGAGATTCGCGGGTACCACGCATCTGACTTGTCAGCGGAACCCGATAAGGAGAAGCGCGAGACAATGATTCGTTATGCGTACATGGTCGGTGACGACTTGTACGACACGACAGCCGACCCCGAGGATGACCCGAGCTTTTATTACAACCACTCGTGCGACCCTAACACGTGGTACGCTAACCCACGTTGCATGGTCGCCCTGCGCGACATTCAGCCGGGCGAGCACGTCACGTACGACTACGCCTGCACGGAGACGGAGGGTAGCATGCACGCCGGCCTGCGCTGCCGCTGTGGCGCCGCGTGCTGCCGCGGAACGCTTAACTTCACCGAGTGGCGCTCGCACGACTGGCAGCGACGGTTCGCCGGCCACTTCTCGGCTTATATCGAACGGAAGATGGCCGAGTCGGGGTGGTACGACCCGCGCGTGGTAACTCGTTACAAGGGTCGCGGCGCGGACGCCTTCAAGGGGCTGTTCGCATTGGCGAGCATCCGACGTGGCGAACCGCTTCTCGTCTTCGCCGGCAAGCTTGTCGGCCTCGACTACCTGCTGGGAAGCGACGAACGCGTTCGGGAGCTCTCGCTGCGAGTCAACGATAACCTCTGGCAGGTGCCGGATCCGACGCGTGGGCCCGAGACGCCCGATTTCATCAACCACTCGTGCGATCCAAACTGCGGATTGGAAGACTCGGTGACGGTGGTGGCCTTGCGGAACATCGCGCCAGGCGAAGAGTTGAGCATCGACTACGGGAGCACCAACGCAGGCGTCGTCCGCACCAGCAGCGACAACTTCAGTTGCCACTGCGGCGCGTCGATCTGCCGCGGGGTAGTCACGTGCGACGATTGGCGGCTGCCCGAGCTGCGGCAACGACTATGGCCGTTCTTCCCGCCGTTCATCAAGCGGCTGATCGTGAGAGAGTCGGAGAAGTCGGACTTGAAGCGGTCTGAGAGTGATGAGTCGTGCGAGTCGATCGAAGGTGATGAACTGGCCTTCACCACGAAGATGAAGGTTCTGGGCTCAGCTGCTTAGGTGTGAAATCCAGCACAAAATCTCCACGCGGCTTTCTGTAAAAATACTCGTGGAGCAGGGGAGGATGTTGTGTGAGGATTTTGAGTGGCCTGCACCGCCTGTAAAGCATTGCATTCGAACGAAATCAGGTTGGTTCCAATGTCCGCTGGTATTCTAGTGACTAACCAGATCATAGGGTATGTATGCAACATACAATACCCCAAGTGACATGTCTAGAAATTGATTGATTAGTAACGGAGATGGGGAGGACAGATTAAAAATTCACCCCAATTATTTAAGGTATGCAAGTTTGATGCTGTACTCAGAGGTGGGGAGAACAGAGATGTGGGGTACTGGGTGTCGGTAGGTGGGTAGTCCGGAGGGATGACAGTGGGGGGTGTAGTGAAAGAGATCCCCAAGCCTACTTCCCCCCACTGACTGCTATGCTGAACAACACTGGGGGTAAATAAATAGTCTCGGGTTTGGGGTCCAAGCCTTATGCCACTTTCGGAAAATAGAAGCCTCTGGTGTAAATAAAGCTTACATAAATTGTGTTGGGAACAAATAAGTTAAGTGCCTCTGTCGTGTCGAAACTCAGGACACAAAGTGAAGAAGTCCAAATCGAAGCATCGCGAGTCAACCCTCGGAGGTTAGGGTAACCGCCTGGAGGTTACGCGAAGGTCAAAGGTCAGCGACCTTTGACTTGACCAATACAGCGCGATAGCAAGGACACACAACTGACTCGACATTGAGCAGTTGCCCGAGTCGCACTGTATCGAATCGCAACAGCAAGGTAGTTTAATTACATCTATTCGTATTCCTTGTACTCTTATATAAAGCTTTGTATTTGCCTGTTTTAATTAACTTACTTTGCCCTCACATTCCAGCGCAAGGTGGTTCAAGGCTTTCGTATTCAACGCTTCCGCTATAACATCATCCTACTCAAACTTTAACTCTACAAAGATCCTAGGGCACCTCAACCCAACATGGTATGAGAGCAGTTAGAGTTAAAATTCATTATTCAACACTCAGTACATCAAAGAAGACATGTCTGCTAGAAAGGAGAGGAGCTCCTCCAACGGCTCTCCCGGTACTACCTCTACTCCACCACCTGCCTCTGGCCTACTAACAGAGGAGGGGACAACGACGAGACCAGTGTTGGGAATATAAACGCATGACTTAGTGCGTTTCTGTAGTATCGAACCTCACCCGATACTGAAGCACAACAAAAGGGGTATGAAGTCGGAAAAAGGCGCGTACCACATCAAACCGCAACTGGAGGTTGCGAGCTGTAACTGCCTGGAGGTTACGTAATAGCAAGCGACGCTTCAGTGAACAGTAACTACCTCGATAGTCGAAGCGTTACGCGTCTCGATAAACATAACCGCTTCCTGTAATCCATCTTTCCTATATATTCCTGTATGCTCTTTGCTTTAATCAATTACTTGTTCTCACATACCAGCACAAGTACATTCACTCAAAAGACTTCCGCTATGCTACTCTAGCACATACCAGCCTATTCTCTGTAAAGATCCAAAGGCTGAAATCCTCAGCCCAACATGGTATTAGAGCAGTCAGAGAACAAAGGCTCTCGTCACTAAGCCTCTTCCAGGCTACCGATCTGCAAGCAACCAAGAAGTTCGATCTTCATTCAAGAAAGGCAAGACATGGCAAGTGGCAAAGAAAGAAGATCATCTACGGGATCTACTCTACCCCCGGTCTCCGAGTTACAGACCGAAGGAGGAACAACGTCCGGATTAACGCCGGAAGCGACGGAACGTTCTACTCAAGCGCCAGTAGCGCCGCCAACAATCTTCAACCCAAGCTTAATGGAGGAGTTCTTCAACTTCATGTCGCAGCAGCAGTCCTCGCAACCTGCAAACAGCAACAGCGTAAACAACGGAGCGGCACCAATGAGTATTGACAACTCATCGTTCGGACGATATAATCAACAAACACCAAATTCGGTCTCACCTGGTTCCTTCACGTTCATGCCGCCTCGCCATCCAGCGACCCCTCTTCCCGCCATCAAACGAGACACCGAAGAAGTCCTGCAAGTACAAGCACAGTTCAACAACATCCTGCGACTGCACACATCCACACCATTCAACGGGAATGACTTCTACTCTTGGAGCTTCGAGTTTGAACTCCTGATGGAAGGCGCGAATCTTCTTGGATTCTTCAACGGTACCTGGCCATATCCACACAACGGCGAAGACAAAGACAAAGAAAATTATACGTATCACTCCCTGATGGCTTACACCGTTCTTCTCCGAAACCTGTCGCCGAACGAACAACAAAGCATCCGCGCCTACCGGAACTACGCAAACTCCGCGGAACTCGCCTATCAACATCTGCGAAGCATTCATCAAGCATCCGACAGTGTTACACAAAGCCGACTAATGGCACAACTGACAACAGTTCAAATGCAACCTGGAGAAAAGGCCATGTCTTACATCAGTCGCTGTCAAGGACTACGCGACAGACTTATTCGCTGCGGAGGAAACTTATCTGAAGAAGCTTTCGTAACCGTCGTTCTTGCTGGCCTTGGACCTCAATGGCGCACCACCCGTTCACTTCTTCGCGCTCACGGTCGACTCTCCGAAATGCATCTCTGCGCCGAACTTCACGCCGAGCAGCAGGAAATGGACCTGTTCGAAGAACGCAACAACAAAAGGCATCATCAACCGGTCGTTCTTTACACCAATCGACGACAGCCACGTTACCAAAATCGAGGACACGTACCTCCTTATTGTCATCTGTGTCGGACTTCAGGACACACACGCTTCAACTGCCCTCAGCAACAACGACAACCAGCACCATTCTCTTGTCCTCTGCGACCCGCGCCCCCCCACATCGCGTCAACTCAACAACGACCCGCTACCGCCTCAACGACTACTTCAACGCGACCGTCAACTTCCACTTCGGGACCTGCACAGACATCAAGAATCGTCGCCATGGCACGAACAACAGAGTCAAACATCGACTCGTGTATTACCGGCTCTCCACCGACTTACAGTCCTGATGAGCAACCGTCACCACCACCGTCGTCCCTTAACGTGAATCCAACGTACGCCGCCATCGCGAACAGTGCACCCACCGGACCAGACACATGGTTCCTCGATAGCTGTTGCGGTCATCACATGTGCTCTTCATCACGATTTCTTCAGCACGAACGACGTCTTCCGCGAGACGTCATCATCACCGTCGCCAACAACGAAAACCTGCGCACCAACAAACAAGGAGTCGTGGAGCTTCAGTCAAACGAGACAAACGTTATCCTTCAACTAAACAAAGTACTCGTCGTCGACAACCTCGGCTTCAACTTACTGAGCATCAGCCAACTCATGTCGAAAGGCATTCACCTGGAGTGTGACTCCGACGCCCGGGAAATCCGTCTTTACCACGGAAAAGGGGGGGTCTTCATCGGCCGCGCAATCCAACAAGATGACGTGTTTGTCCTCGATTTCGTCCCCGACAAAGGCACCGCAGACAGCGACGGCATAGTCGCTCTCGCACCTTGGACGCATCCGCCAGACCTCGACCCGAACTTCAGTCCTGAAGGCTTCTGGTACTCTCGTACCATTCCCGAAGCTGAACGCACCAACGCGCTTGCCGTCCTGCAAACACAAGCAACAACACCTGAGTCAGCACCCGTCATCGAAACAACAACTGCACGCGTCACAGCACCAACAACCACCAAACCTGCAGTTGAAGAACCAACCGTCGTCACGGAACAACCTTCCGAAACTCCACAGCCCGGTCCCTCCGTCGCACCACCACCTCTCATCATCGACACGCCACCGACAGCCGCCCAATAGTTAACGCCAGCACCACGCGCCGTTCATCGAAGTGCAGCAACACACGCCGCCTTTTTCGCTAACGCAGACTTCTATCAACGCTTTGTCGGTCACAGCGCCTCCGAAGACATCTGGCATCAACGTCTTGGACATCTTGGAAACAAAACACTTTACAACACAATACGAGCCGGAGTGTTAGACAAGAACGCCCTACTTCTTCCCAACGGACGTGAACTCGAACGACCACGCGGCACCTGCTTCATCTGCCCGGAAGCAGATCTGCCTCACCAACCGTTCCCGTCACACCACAATCCGAGCGACCCCGTTTATCAACCACTCGAGAAAGTCTACAGCGACATACTATACATACCTCGAACTGAAGGACGTGAAGATCTGAACTACGTCATCACCTTCATCGACGCCGCAACGCGATATGTCTGGCACGTCAACTTACCGACACGAGACATGGCTCTAGAAGCCTTCACAGCCTGGCTACCTGTCGCTGAAAGAGAATCGGGAGTAAAACTGAAGAGTTTTCAGTCAGATGGCGCGATGGAATACCAGTCACATCGCTTCAAACAGTTCTTGGCAGAAAGAGGCATCAAACGCCTCATCTCTCTTCCTTACGCTCACCAACAGCAGGGTGTGGCAGAAAGGATGAACAGGATCCTGCAGACAACCATGCGAAAGCTGCTACGTGGAACTCGACTGCCCAACTCAGAATGGCCAGCAGCGATGGACCACGCTGTCCTCCTGCACAACTTGATGTCCTCGTCTTCACTGCCCAACAACGCATCTCCGCACCTGTTGTGGACTGGGAAGCTGGGCAACACAAAAATGTTACGAGTTTTTGGGTGTATGGTACAGTACCGCCCACACACTGCACGCGCAGGGAGATTTTCGCAACGTGCACAGTGGGGTCTACACCTCGGGCTGGCAAAACATTACGAAGCCTGGCGAATCTTCGACGTCCACACAAAGGAAACAGTAGCAGCACGTGACGTTATCTTCTACGAGCGACTCACCCTCAACCATTACCTGGACAACATCGCACGCCACGTCGACCCCACCGGCGGATTTTCTGGTTCCCGAGCCTTCGCTTCACCCTCCGACGCTGCTGACTGGGAAGAAGAAAACGTCGACGGCGCCTCCGAAGCTGCTGGACCCCTTCCCTACTGCTCCGTCCCAATCCCCATGGACGAGGAAAATCCTCGCGACAGCAACAATGCCGACGTCTACTACCATTTCGCCGACACTGGTTACGTAACACCCCAACCCGTCAACACCGACATCTCTGAACGATACGGCCCCGGATTCGCACCTGATCCTGAAGCGGGAGACGAAGCAGTCTATCCCGAGGATCCCTTGCTGAACCGTCACACTCCCAGCAGACTCCAAAACCTGGGACTCATCGCTGCAGTGCACGGGCCTTCGTCGCCACCTGAAGAGCCTCGCTCTGTCAAGTAGGCTTTGGGGGGGGGGAACACAAAGAAAAATGGCGCGAAGCCATGGAAAAGGAGTTAAAAGCGCTCTCAGACCGCAACACCTGGAAGATCCTCCCTACATCACTCGCACAAGACAGACCCATTCTCTCCGGAAAATGGGTATTCCGGATCAAAACCAACTCTGACGGAACCA